TTATTGAGCACTGCAAAGGCGGACCTGACTTTATAAGAACATAAGAACAGTTACAAACAAGAGGTGGTCACATGGCCCATAAAAACCTCTTTGATACATAGTCCCTCCCACTATTTGAGGCTTTGATGTTAAACAGGACTGGCCGTATCAAAATATTCTTTTAACAATAGTTTGCCATGTCTAATCTCTAGCTGTGGAATTAATGCTCAGCAACTCTGCTTCTAGCAAAGGGCTATCCATCTCTGAGCACATTTATCGGCAACACAACCTCTGATTTGATTGCAGACACTGATTTAATCTCTATAAAGTCTTTCCTGTCTGCCTCCATTGAATGGAAATCATGTTTGTCATGTCTCCACACCACACTCAATAATTTGTACTGTTAAATAAGGTCAATTTGAATCATACCCGCTTGTCCAGCAAGTGAATATATAAAAAGACAATAATAAAACACCCAGGTATTTAGGGAGTTAAAGAGACAGAAGATAGAAGATGCCAACATCTATTAATTTAGAAGACTAACAGATTAGAAACCACATGGACTGTTTTTACAATCAGTATGAGTACTGCCTTTTAAAAAATAAGAGAGAGAGAGACCTTCTGTAGGTGGCTCAGTGACAGACAAGTTCCAGCACTAACAAGACAGAAATTTAGGTTAAGAAATGTTAATCGGTTCTTATACCACTAAAGCCCCTACTGAGGAGATAACCGCTCTCTAAACTTATGCTAACGAGAGGGAACTTTTCTCCCTATGCCTAATGATGCATCCAAATATGATACAGAAAGGTTCCTCTAGTTTAGTGGACAGCACAAAAAGGAAATACTTCCCCAACTGTTAGAATACAACCCTTTAAGAATTGTGCCTTTCTGACAAGAATATGTTTTCTTAGCATTAACTCTCCACCCAAATGCTACTGCCTTTATCCATCTGTCTTTCAGCTATCTTCTGTGTGTCTTGCCCTAGAAAGAGAATCCCCATGTGCTGGCTGTAGATCTGGGCTGTGGGACGGGCCAGAACACCAGGCTTCTGGCTCCTCATTTCCAAGAGGTGGTGGGTCTTGACATCAGCGAATCCCAAGTGGCAGAGGCAAGAGCCGTGCCTGGATTCTCCAACATCACCTACAGGTCAGTGCGGAGCGAGCACACTTCTGGAACACGTCTGCCAGTGTTCCACAAGACCCTCACAGGGAGAAGCTATGCATGGATCTGACCTCTCCTTCTCGCCGTGCAGAGTTGGCGGTGCGGAGGAGATGCCTTTCCCAGACAGCTCAGTGGATCTGATTACAGCTGCAACAGCGGCACATTATTTTGACATTGAGAGGTTCCTGAAGGAAGCCCATAGGGTTCTCAAGCCACAGGGCTGCATGGCGCTGCTGGGCTACACTGACCGCTTTGAGTTCTACTATGGAAATTGTGAAGGACGACTCACTTCCATCTACAGAGAGGTAGGGGACAGACTCAGGCAGACAGAACATCAAGGGTCTTATTTGTAACACCTACTGTATATGGAAATTACATTGAATTATAACTTGCAATGAATGCATGAAGTAAACTGCTACGACTTTATAGTTAAGTGTTCTTCACCATCTTCGGTTTTCGATAGGTTTTTCATTGATGGACAGCTTAAGAATAAATCTGACAGACCGAAGTGTGAACAATGTATTTGGTTATAGTGTCATTTCTAAGGGACAGCGGTATGGACACACCAGTTCAGGAGATCTCAAGAAGTGAATCTGTAGACTATGCTTTAAACTGAACCACCTCTGAAAGCTAGATGTTAGATAGAAAGCTGCTAATGCTGCCCATGTCTTGAAAAACACTGAGTACAGATCCAAGCTGATCCACTGCGCTCGTAGGTGGATTTAAACATGTGCTCTCTTATTATACCTGAGCTCCTCGCTCTTTTTCACAGCTTGTGGATGCCCTGTTACCATACAGCACCAAGCAGATCAACGTGGCCAATTCGATGTTACAGGACCTGTTTGAGGCTATTCCCTACCCTGACAAAGAAAGGTAGTGTGGAGAATGAGGTCGTGTGCTTAGAAAGTCACTGTTGAACCCTCATTGTATCCCAGGTCTGTGGGGAAACCCCCTTGTCCTGAGTTTAGTCCAGCTGTTCCCCTGTTGTTTCTACTGTAATTACATCAGCCATGAGGGTTGGCACATCAGAGGTGTAATCTCTGCGGGTGTTCTGTTGTGCAAGTAGCCAAGAGTGCTGGGATTTCAACTAAGGGTCCCAGGTCTACAAGAGAGAGTATTACTCCTATGCAAAAGTTTCAGGAAATAGTTTGCACTTCATTTTCCACTTATGTGGGCATTTTGTTTCCTTCAGAAGCTAACTCTTCCAGTGCTCTCTCCATGCAAGCATGATCATGAATCATCATGAGTGGTGGAATAGATGGCTCTGTGTTAGATTGCTTAGAAGGGGGTGTCATGTGACAAACTGCTGTGTCGTGCACTGTATTGCTCACAGCTTCAGCTCTCTCTACCTAAGACCACTTCTGTCAAGAGTATAGTATTGGCTTTGAGTAGTGCACTGGTCATTTTGTAAATAAAATACAGCTATCGGTGTATTTTTTACAGGATTGAGAACATTATATTGAAGGAATTGAGACCGGTGAGCAGTGTTGTGGGGCTTTGTGAGTCCTTCTCGATGTACCAGGCGTATCAGAAGGCAGAGCCGGAGGCTGCGAGGGCGCTGCTCCAGACCACCCAGCAGAGGTGATGTGCACCCAGACACTCACACCCCCTGTCACCTTGTCCCCCTCCTGCCACTCTTAGATCTGTACTGCCACAATAAAACCACAGGGGCCTGCTTTTCAAACTGAGAACAGGAGGCATGTGGGGCTGTGTGTGTCCGGATCAAGCTACACAGACACTTTGTATGAGCTGGCTCCTGGCTGACTATCATAATAGCAAACAAACGAGCTTTCTTACATTCGAGTTCTTATGCTCATGTCTCTATGAACTGGGTACTGGAATTATATCTATGTATATTGAAACACCTTTTCCTGTTTGTTTTTTTACCATTATTTAGAAAAGAAATGGGATTGTACTGTGTGCGGTGAAAGCTTGATTGTATTAGAACTGCAGGCAGCCAAGTGAAATGGAGAGCCCTGTATTTGTTAATGGGATTCATTCTTTCCTTGTGATCTGTGTGTGTTTTATCTGCAGGTTTCTAGAGGAGATGAAAGTCTCCTCCCCAGAGACGGAGGTGGAGGTCAGGATGAAGTATTTCTGCGTGCTGGCCAGCAAGCCGCGCTAACGAGCCAAGCAGTTCTGTTCTGAGCTCCCAGGGGCAGATTTCTTTTCTGTAACATTCCTGATTGTCTTATTTTCTTCCCAAAAGATTTGATAAAGGCCAGATATTTTTTCTTTCCATATCTTCCCCTCTTCCCCAGGGCACAGTCGCCGGCTGTACTGATGGACAAATCAGAGAGACTCAAATCAATCCGTCAGTCGATCAATCTACCCATAAATCAATTAATCTCTTCCTAAGACTTTCAATCAACCTACAGCCTTTCTGTCAATCAGTCAATCAGTCAATCAGTCAATCAATCAGTCTACAGCCTTTAATTCCAGAGCATGCTCAAGGGTCTTACATATATTTACATAAATGTCAGAAATAGAGCAAATGAAAAATACTACAAAAAATCCATGATTGTGAAATCAAAAGAAATGGGTTAAAAATCTACGGCTGGTTCTGGGCTCCTCAGCGTTCCAAGGACTCTGCATCGTACAATATGGTACAGAGCCTTTTCAGAACATGCCCACCATCCATTAAAAAAACACCCTCTGCTGGCGTTTTTAAATCTCGGCTCAAAATGTCCTTATTTTCATATGCTGAGGAGCCCAGAACCAGCCGAATGAGTGGAGTGAATGAGCAGGGTCAGGTGGTGATACTGTAGGAAGATGCAGGCAGGCAGGAAACAGACTGTAGTGCCTGGAAGGTCAACACGACAGTGTTAAAGTCAGTGCTGTAAAAGAAAGGTAGCCATGAGAGGAGAAGGTTATTTGAGACTTTATTTTAGTTGTTTTTTTTAGTTCAACACTGGAGCAACACTGGAGCAACACAGTTCTGGACATATTGTAGATTCTGAAGTAATTTCTTGTCTAATCCAGCTAGGAAAGCATTTCAGTAATCCAGACTTCAGGAGTTGAAAGCTTGAACTAAATGGGATTTGTTCCGCTATTGGAAGAATGAAAAATTGGGGAGAGTCAGAAATCATCCCTTACCTTTTAACATATTTGATACAAAACAAGTTCTGTATCTCCAAAAGCGATTGAGACGGTCTAATTTTGAGACTTGATGGGGAGAGACTATTAAAATCTCTGTTTTATACCTGTTTAGTTGGAGATAATTTTGAGCCTTCCACAAATGTGGCCTGATAGCAACATTGAAATATTGGCAGGGCCGGGAGACGGCGGGGGCAGAGTCTGATTTAGTGTCTCCAGGGTGCAGTCGAAACGCGCCTAGAACTCAGGCCCTAACCATAACCAGAATCCAAGGAGGTCAGGAAATAGAGCAGGGGAAGAAAAACCCCAAAGGAGAAGGGGCTGCCAAGTAGCGTCGGCGTCCTCGCTCTCTCCAGCAGAACTCGGCAGGCGATAACGGGGTTCCCATGAGTGAGGCTCCTCCGCTCTCACTGGCGGTGCTGTGGCTTCACAGGGCTGCTGTTATATGGAGGTCCATGTGCCGGGCAGAGGATAGGGGATATTCGGGTTACTGTTCACATGGTGCTCCTGGGCTATGTTTGGGAGAATCCCACAGCTGGCTAATGACCTAAATGTCCCAGACTCTAACTTTTCATATTTTAAATAAATTGAAAGTATGAGCATATTTAGATGAAGGTTTCACATTTTTTCTTTTCTTTTTTTTTTTTAACTTTTCATCTGGGGGTTGACCACTAACTCTTCCTTTGCAGCTTGCTTACTTGTGCAGCTGTGTGCTCTAACCTCTGTACATAGGCATGACGCAGCGGGATGTGTACCTGCAGGAAAAATTCCAACTGTATACAGAACGTGTTTTTAAAACACTCGTCACAGATTGAAGTTTATTTTATCATGGGCGCCTGGTAAATTCAATTAAATGTAAATTTAACTTGTGCAGTTTTTGCTGTTTCAATCAGTATTTTCCTGTGTTAGCTGGTATGGGGGGAAACAGTGCTGGAGAGGACATACCCCCCCTGTGATGGAAGAAAAAGGGAGAAGATAAAGTCTCAGAGGACCCCTCAGAGATACAGTCTGTCTGATTGCTAGAGAGATCGGGGGCTGGTGAGAGGGATCAGTTTAATACACTGATTACAATAATGAAAGTGACAAGCTGGTTTGTGGCATGGTTACCTTTTCCAACATCGCAGACAATATGTTCTACTGAGGAGGGGAGTTGATGCACAATTTATTTCAATTTCAATTTATTTTTATATAGCGCCATTCACAACAACGTTGCCCCCAAGGCCCTTAACAAAGCTGAGTGACACTATTTCATGGCATTACAATATGGAAAGAGAAAAGGCCAGAAGACAACGGAGGAGAGGAGCAAAAACTAAAGGAGGAGAAAAAACCTCTAGGGGTCCATGGTCAACTGGCTGCCCAACCCCTCTGGCCATGCTAACATTATACAATTTAAAAAAAGTACTAAATGTAGAGTATGAAGTCTTCCATCATGTCCTTCTGTGTGCCAATACTCCATGCAGCTCTCCAGACTCGCAAACCCTTTTTAATCTGTACACAGGTTCAAAGTCCTATCTGGTGAATGGGATGTTAATGTTGTCCAGATCCAGTCTCGCTGCTGTGGTATGAGAAAAACCTCCTTCAGTGATAACAGGCTAAGGTTACCCAATGTTCTGAGTTTTTGTTAGGACAAGTGTTGGGGGCAGACTACCTTTTAAAAAGTAACCCAGTGAAGTTACATATTACTTGTGTAAGGGAATACAGTTGTCAATGAGAAGTTGGAAGTAATTGCTTTTCAGTGGTAATGTGTTTCTTTATGTTGTAAAGATACACACGTTGCATACATCACTTTAACAATTAACTTCTTAAAATAATTTCCCCGAAGCGTTTGCATTTCCTACAAGAGCTAATCCTTTTACACAATCCACCGTACGCAGGCAGCTTGAGCATTATTGGACCACGTGTCAAATATAATTTTTGCCGACACTGGATTTGACAGAAAAAAAAACTCCCAATAACTCTTGTACAAATCCAGACTGAAGACCTATTACTTCGGCCTATCCTAATGAGCGCCTTGGGGCATCCTTGCTGTGAAAGGCGCTATATAAAAATACATTGAATTGAACCGAACGAGATGGGGAGGACATTTTCCCATTTGAGAGTTGTTTTTTTTAATGCATAAACAATAACAAAAAAAATACAATACAAACAAGAGCACATTTAACATTTCAAGCCAAAAACATCGTCAGGGGTCCACATTACAAAATAAATTCAAATTGCGGAATAAAGTTTAAACAACTTAAATAAAGATAACGCCCGCACCGCTTTCATATTTTTACAGTTTGAAATAGTCTGTAGATATTCCTTTACATCCATTTTAAAACGCTCAAACGTTTTACTGTGTACTGTGTGAGAAGCTCTGCGGGAGACGCACAAGAACAGCTGTCTTCGGCTCTGGGCTGGCAGAATGTGACCCTGACAGTGCTGAGTGCGCGGGGCAGTCTAGGAGCTCCGTGAAGTTGGTCCCCCTACACACAGCACAAACCATGAAACCCACCTCATTCGTGTGCTGCTTTCGTTTCCGACATATAGCCTTGGTTTTTCGGGTAATCACGTGAATATCTACAAGGAAGTTTACAGGTACCAACAAACTCGATACTTGAACTCCTGATTCTGACGAAAACAATGGGGGCAATTTGTTTTCCTAGTCTGTCTGCTCGGGTGGGGTGGATGTTTCCTCTGTCGCTCTGTGACGTACAGAACAGCAAGGTCACGACCACCAGATCTTTCAGTTGTGATCTTTTGATCAGTTGATCCCAGACTTTGCAGCCTTTACGCGAATAAACAGTCTTACATTTGTGGTGGAGTTACTATGTTAGTTTATTAGGTTAAGTATTTAATCTTAATTTTTAACCACGTTCTCCAAAAGTTATTGTTTGTACTCCTTTCATTGGTGAAGAGACACCAGTTTCCAAATTACCGCTGGTACAACACGAGAGCCATATTCATATTTTTAGGTATTAGTTTGAAGATCGATATAATTTAACAATAAAACAACAAAATTTAAAGCTTCGAGCATAATAATACTTTACATTTCTATTTATTTTTTGAAGTACAAAGCAGAAGGTGTTTCCCCTACCTTAAATATACGATTAAAATTGTTCAAATACCATGTATTCATTACAGAAAGCAGCGGAGACAGTTATATTGTAAAATAAAAAAAGTATTTATTTCGAAGAGTAAGGGACATTGTGAATCAATTAAGTCGATACAAAATAAGCCGATGCATTTTAAAATCAGATTCTCATTGACAGTAAACAAGCCGATCCACCTGGCGCTGCTCGCTTGAACAGCTCTCAGAGCCGTGATTGGCTAAACCCCCGAACAGCTCGGGTCGCGATTGGGTGAAGAGTGAGAATCGACACTCTGATTGGGTACAGCGCCACAGCGGAAGTTCCGAGAACATGTAGATACACAGGTGATGGATGTTCTTCTTGGTCCAAATACTGTAGCTGCGGTTAACCGTGTGTGCTGTATGAGCACGCTGGATATACAGTAACACATCCATTGGTTTCCAATTACTGATCAATCTAAGAGTCGCACTGAGGTCAAAACTGAATAGCAGACAAAGAATGTCAATGCATTCACGGTGGTCATGACTTCGATAGCATGTCACAATAGGAATGCGCGCATCACGATCACATCGCGATACCCATTGCGGCTGGCGCATCACTGTCATGGCGCCACTGTCGCAACATTAAGTCCATATATCGGGATATGACATACCCCGACAAAACGCCCCGACCCCATGTCGCGACATGAAAGGCCCTATATCGCAATATGACATGACCAGCCAAAATGCCCACCCCCCATGCCGCGACATGGGGTCCATATATCGCGATATGACAAAAACCTGTCATGCCAATGTCATGATATGAAGCCCATATATCGTGATATGACATACCCTGACAAAATGCCCCGCCCCCATGTCGCGACATGGAGTCCATATGTTGTGATAGGACATACCCTGACAAGAGATGCTGACCCCATGTCGTGACACAAAGTACTATCTGGGTATATCATGTCCTGACATGAGACCTTTGTTGCGACAGAGGTGCCAGGGTAACATGGAAGCAAGGTGCCAGTCTTGATATACACTGCCGCGCTATACAGTACATGCGATATACATGGGGTCCCTATCATGACTTGCTGCAGAGGTCTTATTGCGATGGTATCCCACAGTTACGCGTTTGATAACAGCGTGTCACAGAAGGGAAACAAAAGGAGACCGTGCCTCAGAAAATAAAAAGCATCGATCTTACAATCACGGTGATTTTACATACATTAGGTTTATGTCATAGATGGTTAGTATTATTCACATCTAAGGAGGCTCATGTGTTTATAAATATTGATTGTCTTTAAAATGTTAAGGGTACGAGCTAAACTGTAACAGCTGTAACAAAAAAAATGGACATCGTAATGAAAAACGTTCATGTTGTGTGCTGCTGTTAGTGTATGATGAATAGTGACCAATTTACCTCAGTACTTACAGTATACGAGTGTATAAGAAGTCCTTTGGAGTAGACTTTTGGGGTCAGTTTTCAGACGGGGAAATGAATTCGTTATTCCTATAGGCTGCAGTTTTTAAAGAACGCGTCCTCAATGTGTATCGCGGTACTCTAATTAGCTGGGCAGATTTTATTCGAAGCTGCTCCGCTTACTTCCTTACTTAAGAGGAGAGCGACAGCCGTCCACCAAGGCGCATTTGAACTCACAAGCTTGCACTACAGGACCGGAGCGCACGCAGCTCTCCCGGTGCGCGCAAAGAGCTTTATTGCCACGACCGACGAACTGCAGTGTGGCCTACGCAAAAACCTTAGATAGAAAAAAACATACTGTTAGATACTTGCATGAACATAATTATGCAAATGAACAAGTAATAGGTTCATTCCATGCTGAAAAGAGAAGAGAGAAAACACATGGTTTCGGCTGTGAAGCCTTCTTCAGGTGTGGCTCACCTATGAACCTACTACTTGTTCTTTGGCAGACTGCGCATGCTGACGCAGCTGCCCACCTAAACATGGTTACTGGGAGACACTCTGTGCCTCAGGCTGTGACAGGAGCTCACACACTGGGCTACAGCTCTATTGAGCTCCCTTCCCCCCTCTCCCAGCAGGTTTGGGAGCTGTTCTGATCCTGGCAGTGGGAATTTTGTGTGGCTTAGTAAACAAAAGCTCACATAGTCGGCTCGCATAGTTTTGCAGAGAGCTCTCGTGCAGTTTTGTTAAAGTTTAAGGAGTTAAAGTTTGTGTTGGTGTTTTTTTAGTATGCTGTGGTGGTTTCTCGAGGTATAAAGTATGATTCTGTTTTTTTCTTCCTTGTTTTCAATGGATATGGTTCCTGTTGTTTGTTTAAGTCTGTGGCTATCAGATACTGTAGCCTCAGCAATATTTGTACTGGCCCCTGACTGCACACACATAACATGATGCTTGTGTATATTTACTTAAAGATAGTACTGAAAAGTTAAGATGTAGATTTATTTTTTGGAAAAAGCAGAGCTCATTTTCTGAAACCTTTTTACGTAAACCTTACAGGGTTCTTTATCTATCACAATGCATGGTATATGTTGGCATTTTTTTTTTCAGCTGTGAGATATATTTGTAAAATAAACTTCCTGGCAACTGCAAAAAGATCTCCGTCTCCTCACGCTGACAATGCATGTTAACTCATAAAGGACGCTTTCTAAAACTGCACAAACTACAACATATGGGCGGAGTGGTGGCTCTGTGGCTCAGGATCTGTGCCTGTGACTGGAAGATTGCCAGTTCAAGTCCTGCTGCTGGTAGAGGAATCCTACTCCGTTGGGCCCCTGAGCAAGGCCCTTAACCCCAACTGCTCCAGGGGTGCTGTACAATGGCAGACCCTGTGCTCTGACCCCCAGCTTCTCTCTCTGTCTGTGTGTCTCATGGAGAGCAAACTGGGGTATGTGAAAAGATGAATTCCTAATGCAAGAAATTGTATAGGGCTAATAAAGCAACATTATTATAAACATAGCATTGGAATAAGTGATGAATTTCTTCTTGTATTCACAGAAATACATGGGAGAATGAAACAAGCTTGATCAGGTTATATAAGGGAAGTGACGACACATCTTTTTCTATAAGGTCAGGGAGAATGATTAACAAGTCTGTTTAAAGATAATCCCGTCATTTTCTGCCGAGTCTCAGTTCCGTAGAAACTTTTTTTCCGAGCGCTGGGGAAAGATGGCCTTCCGCCTGTTCGAGGAGAAGCAGCATGCCTCCGTCTACCAGAAGTTTCGCTTCA